TCTGTCTTTATTTGCAGGCTCTTCAGTAGGACGTAGGTGGTAGAGTGTATTTTAGTTTTGTTTCCTGTGGCCCTTTCCCCCCATCCTTTACCCCTCACTGCGTTTGTGGGTTTTGAACAATTGAACTGCAGCTTTCAGTAATATCTATCATTTTTTTGAGTAAATTAAAGGTTGCCTTTTATTTGTTATTTCAGCAAATTGATGAGAATCATGCTCAATGACAAAAATATAAATATACAACATTGTGATAAAAATGCTAACATTTGCACCACCACTTTTTAAAACGAGCATTTTATTCCACTGCCATTTTCACTTCATTTCTTTCTATCTCTGTCTTTGCTTCTAAGATGCTTATGTTAGGCCTAGCTTAAGGTGCAAAGGTTGTTGTGGTATTGAATCAATGTTTAATTGTAAGGAAACTGAGGAAGAATAAGGAAAATCTTTACTGTTCTGCAGAGGTATTAAGTCTGATTTTGCAGATTTGAAAACCAGAGATAGTGTCAAGTTCATTTAACCAGGATAGTACTGGCCTATTAGTCCAAGACTCCTTCACACTCATGCAGCAAATCAGAACAAACATTCAGATTTTAAGGTATTTTCTGCCACCAGATTTCTTAATACCAAATACACTTGAATCCTGTAGCACTTAAATTCCAAAAATCCTGACCCGTCTTGGTAATTCTGAAAGGTAAACACAAATGAGGTAATCTTCTGAAGATATTTTCTTCATGCTGATGTTGTGACCTTATTCATCACAGCCTACAAAAGATGGCTGTGGTCAGCATTTTGAAGGTATTTAGTAGTTCTTAACCATAAGGTTTAAAACATTTGTTTTCTTAAGGAAAACTGTTGAAAAATCAGTGACATTTTCCTCTATGTGTTTCATACTGGTTTAGGTGTGTGGGTATTCATATCTACAGAAAAGAAGAAAAAAGAACAGTGCCACTACCTGTGTAGATCACCACTGGGCTGTCCTCCAGGTTTCCACTCTCACTTAATTATCTTTATGTAATTTCTACCTTTTGCTAGCAGTTAATTTTTTAAAATGTTTTATTCTGCAAAAAAAATAGATTGTGATCACCATGCTTGTTTGTGTAGGCCACTGAATGGCCTTCCAAAAATTTTGACTTTGCTTTGTCTTTGTTAAAGAATTTTCATTTTAAATTTCCACCCCATATCTATATTTACAGTTATGCAGTATTTAATAAATTATTTTTCTGCAAGTCCAGTGGTGTCCTTTGAAATTACTTCCAAAAGTTTCTTTCATATTAAATTTAACATGCAATCTACTGATGGAGTGGAAAAAACAAAAAGGCAGAAAATAATTACAAGTTTTAAAAAAAAGTGGAAAAGGTCAATAATTGCAGAGTAGACGCTGCAGTTACTGGCTGACCTTTCAGAGACCCACTGTTTCTCTTTCTTTGAGGTCTTACTGGCAGCAGTGAGTTTCAGTAGAGTAAACCATTGCAACTTCTGTTGTTCCTGCTATTATCATACCATTTGTATAGTGTTAATGTAAACGTAGTTTGTAGAAAAATATCATTTTGAGACTGGGTGGGAACTGAGGGACAAGTTTGTATACATTTAAGAAAAACAGTTTGTAGTCTTTGCCTGATACTCTTGCTTGTTTCGTGGTGTTTAAATAAGAACAAACTGTGTTTAGTCTCATGTTTCCACAATCAGGAAGTTAAGTCACCAGTAAGAGCAAATCAAAGACAGGCCTCGAAATTCTGTCACAGCTTAATGTCTGTAAATAGACTTCTTAGTAAATGACCTAAAATATATGTTTGGAGTAGAAATCACCAAGTTCAAAATTTTCCCCCCTTTTATTTCTTTCACCACCACCACCCCACTTGCCCTAGCTTTAGGGCTAGTGTTTTGAAGATACTTTTACCTAGGGTTCTAATATATCCATTTGGGAATAAAATCTTACTTGTTTTTCTTGCTATTTAAAAACAAGAAGTTTCATTTTACTAGTGCAGTCTCATACACTTTCATACAATTTCAATTGCAGATTTAGGTTCATCCAAGTCAAAACGTAATCAAAATATATGACTTGGGTTTTATGGAAACTCTTTCAAAGTGTTTTGGTGAGCTTTGTCAGACAGATTGCCACAGGCATTCGAACACGTTTTGAAAAGTTCACCCTTGTCCTTGAGGCTAAAAGAGAAAATAAATAAAAAAAACATATGAGTTATGGTTGTACATTTTTAAATGCTTCTACTTTGCCTTCACCTTAGTTACTGCAGTTGAGGTTGGTGCCACACTAGCACTTGCTTTACAAACATTGAAATCTCTCCTGTGATGAGTTTACATTGTAGAAAGTAATCATTTATGTATCACTAGATTCTGTTTTAACAATCTGAGAGCTTCTGCTCTCGAAACAGATGCATTTGGAAATAGCAGTAAGATTTTTTTCAGGAATCGTAATAAATATTCATATTGCATTAGTATCACTAATAAGTCTTTAAAAAAACTCAAACCCCAACTTTCATAGAAGAAATAACAATAACCTCCATTTATCAGGGAAAAAACCCCCCATAATCTCTGAAAATTCAAATCAGCTTTGAGAATCTCAAATTTATTGTGGGAGGGATTTTTTTTTTTTTTTAAATGTTATTTTTTAAAAACTCATTTGGAACATTTAAAACCTGTTGTCATAGAAGTTGGCAGTATTAGGTGAGGTATAGGATTTAGAACTTAGTTTGCTGTGTTTTCCACTTTGTGAATCTGTGAAAAATCCTAGCTCCTTCTGTTGAGGACAAAGAATTTCTTGTATTTTTAGGGCTCAAGTCTTATCTTGCTTCTCAGAACTCTATAAGGTAAAGTATGTTTCTGAATTTGACTGTCAATGTAAAGAAACCACATCAGCAATTTATGTACAGAAATATAATCTTTCTGGCAATGCAGAAGGAATTTAAGCTTTCCTCTTTCAAAGTTACTTTGCTACTAGTTTGATATAAAGAGTAAGTGGAATCAGCACAAATTCTGACAAACAGAACTGTTATTTGGTCAAAGCTTGGAGACAGCAAAATATTATTAAAAAGGAATGGCTATATTATAAGCAGACATTTATTTAAAAATTGGAAGAAACCTTTCCATAAACACTTATAACTTGCACTCTGTGTGTGGCTGTGTGTAAGTAATGTAACACTGTGTAGCAAAATGCTGGATTTTTTTCGTTTTGCTAGACCTGTAGAATTTTTTTTAGTATGGAACTTATTTTATATCATCCTCATTTTCACTCATCTCTTAAAAAGGCATCTTTCTGCCAGGAAGAGCCTGGAAAAAAGACTTTTGAGAGACAGACTGATATTCCAGGCTTTGCAAATATGGTTGTTTAGATTTTGTTGTGATTAAATAATTAAATCTTTTCCTGTTTGCCAGTGGATTTTGACAACTGCGCATGTACCTTTTATTTGTCAAATGGGATGGGTAAACAATTTTTGGCAAGTATAGTCTTTGCTAAATATTCCTTTTATTCTATTCTGTGAGATATTTGTGTAGATAAATGATATTTGCCCATTTGAATACCAGAACATTTTGGAAAGCAAAATAATGAACAAACAACAGAAAAGTCACAGCTGACATTGATGTCTGTTCATTCAGTGTGCACTATTCCCTGTATATAGGCATGGGTATTCTTGTAAACATCAATTACTAGTGGACACTGAGTATAACAAAATGATATTCTAATATTAACAAGACAACAAAATGCTGTGGTGATAGCAAAACACAGCATGGAAGTGGGAATCTTGTAGGGAATGTGCCATTTTTCCAGCCATTGCTAAGTAGAACTAAACCTTCAGCTCTCTTTCATAACTTATCGAGCAAAGGTATGGATATGGGTCAGAAATCCAAATCAAAATTATTGATAGGATTTCTTTTCTTTATTTCCAAATATATATGGACTTTTTAATGCTTCCCTCTTATATTCTGCATTGTAAGATGAGAGAATGAGATACCACCTTGTAGCATTATTGATTCCTTTTTTTTTTATTATTTTTATGAACTCAAATCTTAGCTAAGCCAGGATTGATCTAGGACAGTAAAAACTCATAGTTCTTGGCTTTCTGCCAGCAGTCATGTTAAAACACTTATGGAATTAATGATAAATTTCTTGTACAACAGTGCTTTTACATTTTGATTCACGAGATTGAGTGTAGGAAGTAAATGTCAATGGCAAATAACAAAGTGACTATTTCAAAGAGCTGCCACATGCCTTCACATTTTTACAAATTGTTATTGACTTGAAAGGCTGAGTCAGAGAAACCACTTTTACTGCTGATGTATAACATGGCTATGTGCAAAACCTGAAATCGTCTTTGTGTTCATGCAAAGTTTCTTGTACTTCCTGCTAAGGTCCATAGAGATTTTTTTATACAGTTATTCTCTTATGTAGTTTAATGCCTTGTGAGTACCATGATCCTTTGGTGCTCTACAGACTTCACAAAAAGTATAAGACTAAGTAGAATGTAAAGGCTTGTAGCTATATTGTAGTTTGCCTTCAACAGTTGGTTTTTATGAACCCATTCACTAGAAAAACCTGTAAATATTTTTTTCCTTACATCATTGTTGCTATTAATTGTTAAATAATATGAAGAGAATGTACAAGGAACGACTTGGAAAATGAGGTTGTCCTTATTTTTTATAACTGCAGTATTTATTCAACACAAGCAAATATACCTTTTCCTATGTCTAGTCCTGCTTAATGAGGATCACAGTGTCAAATTGTATACTGTGTGTATTTTAACTCAAGAAATATAGATGGAAAGTTCATGCTGAATGAGGTGACATTAACTTTATAACCTTTGGCTCCTTCTCATTGATATGCACGTTTGGTCTGCAGTTTTGGAACTGATGGTAAGGTTCTAATTAGTCTCTAGAGAGTTCATGTGGACAACAGATTACTCATTAGTCTATCAACTTTGAATGAAGTTAATTGGCTGTTTCTTCTGTGTAATGTGAAAACCGAAATGACATGTTATTTTGCCTTCCAGATGTTGCAACTGCCTGTCCAGATAAGAAGTCCATCTTAATGTATGTGACTTCACTATTCCAAGTTCTGCCCCAGAAAGTCACCATGGAAGCCATCAGGGAGGTGGAGATGCTGCCACGACACACAAGGGTCACTAGAGAAGAGCACATAGAAGTACATGAACAGCATTTTTCACAAGAAGTGAGTTTCACTTTTCTGCTTTCATCTTGCTGCTCTAAAGTGGTTGTTTCCCCACCTACCTACCCCATGAGTTTGATGTTACATGGCCAGTGGAAGGCAAAAAACCCATGGGCATAATGGGCAAAGTCTCTTTGCTCCAGGCAAGTCAAGTGTACTTTAATACTGATTTTTATCTTGCACCAGGCTGTTTTGAAAGTAACTATTCAGCAAATAAGTGCTTTGCACATCTCTTGTGCAGCACTGAGTGTTTTAATTGCGGTAGGGCACCTAAAGGAAGAACAAAGGAACTAGGGAGGCTTTACATTTAAAAATAAACATGGAGATATATTTGTATCTTTTCTAGAGAATAGCAATTGACATTTCTACATATTCATGATACATTTCTAATTTTTTTAACATTTTTTCTACAGGCTTGTATTTTAAGATAATCTCAGTTTACAGTTGGCCTCTCAAAATCTCATGTAATACTGGGAATTAATTTGCGATTGCCAATGTTGGTTATGTTTTTGACTGAAATAATCAGATAATCTCTGTTGAAGTGTTTAGTGAATTTTAGGCCTGGTGTACTTGCCTGAATTTAATCTGATGTATGTTAGTTTTGGAATGCTCACTCTCTTTTGGAGTACTGAGCAGATAAGTATTGGCTCTGTTTATTCAAGATGTGCCACAAGATACTTGCCTTTGCTTGCAAATTATAAAGAAGCTTTAATTTACATTGATATTCTGCTGGTATTGAGTCATGACAGTTTGTTGCTTTTGGTAAGCATGTCAGATTAAATGAGAGCTTTCCTTAGTACCATCCCAATTTTGCCTTCTGAATACAAACATTGTCCTTGAAAAATAACAGTGGTGATGACCTTGCTGCCTGTTTTTCTTCAGTTCCTCTTAAAATCAATACTTCTATAATCCATGCTCCTACCCATGTGTCCATTCTGCCTCTAATTTATTTGTAGATCACAGTCAGTGTACCCCAGGGACCTTCGCCTTCTCCTAAACCGCGGTTCAAAAGTTATGCATATGCACAAGCTGTCTATGTCACATCCCCTGACCAAAAAAGGAGGCAGGTTCCTCCACAGGTCTGTCAATATTGTAATTTTTTTAAAAACCTGCTTTATTAAGCTTGTGCTTGGAGTGAAAGAGCTTGTGCATTTTGCTTACACCTTGATCTTGATGCCCTGCTTTTTCCAGGATTTTTTTTTTCTGTCGAGTGGTTACTTTTTACTGTGTATTTCTGCATGGCTGGCAATAGATGTTATGCTGATTGTTAGGGCTGAATAACATGCAAGCACAGCTGTTATAAAATAATAAACTGCTTCCTTTGTAAAGTTATTTTTCAAAATAGTACATACATTGCCTTAAAAAAGTATTACAGGAACAAATCAAAGCTGTATTTGGCATCTAATTATTATATTTCTGTTTCTGGTTTAGTTATAGAAAAACAAGAGCCATTGGTTTTCTCTTTCTTCTCCTAATCTTTCTTATGTAAGAAAATAGCAAGTGATGGCATTTCTTAGAAGGTTATTGTAGTTGAGAAAAAAAAGATAAAAAGAACATTAAATTTAATATTCTTTATATGACTTGTATTATTAGATTACAACAGTTGGTAATTTTTATCATAAATGGAACCATGCCAGCATTCAGCTTAGGGGGTTAGGTTTTTAAGGTTGGTTTTGTTTTTTTTTTATTATTATTGTTTAGTAGCTGTGGTGGTTTAATAAAACTTGTATAAGCAATCCTTATAATGAGCATTTCAGTAGTTGAATTTTTATAACTTTAGACAAGTGTGGGAGCCAAGGTCATATTGTGTACTGCAATGTGCTTTCCTTTCATTACTTTGGGAAAAAAAGATCTGCATGTATTTGGCAATACAATTTGAGTTCATTTCTGGATACTTAATTCTGTCTAACTTATAAAAAATTATTGCAAAATTATGCTTCAATTCAACACTGTGTTTACGAATCTACACTGTGTCAGGTTTTTTACTGAATAGTGACTTTCTTTAAATGCTCCAGAACAGAAATCCCGTGTGCATAAGCATGAGCCTTGCTACATTATACTAACATCAAAGGGGTTCTAGTGATGATTCATACACCTTTTAAACAAGATGTTTAAAACTGTTATAATTGTTTCGTCCTACCATAATATTAAAAATCTACCAATTTGGCAGAATCTGAAGACCTAACCAGAACTGGCCGTATTGTGCTACAGCTGTAACAGATATTAACTTTTTACTTAAAGAGTACTCATAAACTCATGCAGATCCTGGTATAGGAATCCACTTCTCAAATCTGAATCCTTGAATTCCCTGTATTAACATTAATTAAGGCCCAACAGAAAATGTTTCTGTTGACATGTTTCAGATGGCAGTTACTGTTTAGCAATTACAGAAGGCTTGCCTGGCTTTCCAGCTCTGTATTTTTTTTTGTGTGCACTCTCTGTAATAAGACAGTCTGTCTGGCTTCATTTAGAAGAAACAAATCTTCAAGTTAATTTTCTGGGACATTTCAAAATTCTCATTTAAAATTAGCCTTTCACTTCTGTTTTCTATTTATGAAAGCATTGAGTTTTGTTTTTATGATTCATCTCATTGAACACCTGACCAAAAAGAGTACTGGGTTTACTTTCTATTTTGTTTTATCAGAGCAGTTCCTTATATTGATCCCAGGCAAAACTCTTACCTCACTGCTTCATTTTTTACTTGCTATGTGCCACCTCCATAGGACATAAAGCATACAACCTTAAATGAATTCAAGACAAAAAATAACATTGTAAAACACTGACGTACCTAGAAAAGAAACTTTTTATGATATAGAATCATAGAATCATTTAGTTTGGAAAAGACACTTAAGAACATTGAGTCCAACTTACCCTAATGATGCCAAGATTCCTTCAGGGATGGTGACTCCACCACTTCCCTGGGCGGACTGTTCCAGTGTCACCCTTTCAGTGGCAATTTTTTTCCCAATATCTACTCTGAACCTCCCCTTGCACAACTTGAGGCCATTTCCTCTTTTTCTATCACTTGGGAGAAGAGACTGATCCCCACTTTGCTACAACCTCTCTTCAAGTAGTTGTAGAGAGAAATAAGGTCTCCCTTCAGCTTCTTTGTCTCCAGGCTAAACCCTCCTCCAGCTCCTTCAGCTGCTTGTCATAGACTTGTGCTCCAGACCCTTCACCAGCTCTGTTGCCCTTCTCTGGACACACTCCAGCACCTCAATGTCTTTCTGGTAGTGAAGGCCCCAAAACAGAACATAGAATTTGATTTGTGGCCTCAGCAGTGCCAAGTACAAGGGGACAATCACTTCCTTGGTCCTACTGGCCACAGTATTTCTAACACAAACCATAATGCCATTGGCCCTCTTGACCACCCGGACACACATTTGGTCCTGTTCAGCCAGCTGTCCAGGCCCTTTTCAGCTGGGCAGCTTTCCAGTGCTTCTACCCCAAGCCTGGAGACTTACCTGGAGTTGGTGTGACCCAAATGCAGAACTCGGCACTTTGCCTTGTTGAACCTCATACAATTGGCCTTGGCCCACCAATTCAGGCTGTCCAGATCTCTCTTGCAGAGCCTTCCTACCCTCCAGCAGATCAACACTCCCACCCAACTTGGTGTTGCCTGCAAATTGAGTGAGGGTACCCTTCATACCCTGTTGGGAAAACAGTGCTGAAAATGTAAGCGATGAAAAAAATTGGGATGAACAAAGTCTATGTATATTTTGAGACTGGTACTTCTGTAAATAAGCTTTTGACAAGCCTGTCTAAAAGGTCAAATGTGAGTCTGGCTACCTTTAATTATCAATTCTTCAAAATCAAGCCCATTCATCTCTATCATTGCAGATTTTTGTTCTTTTGACAGGAGTTATGTATTCTACATTGTGTTATATGAAATACAGAGCTTGTGTGCAGAATTATTCTTAACACTTAAACTGACTTCAGTATATTTGAATTGAAATAAATTGAGATGCACCAGTGGTAAATGAGGACAGTGTTCACTGGCACATGATGATTTGATTTGGGACTTAAGAATTAAAGGCTTCACCTCAGGCCTCACCCTCGTCATTAGTTTGTGGGAATTTCCTAATCCTCCAGTCATTACTGTTGTTTTACAGAAGTATTGTAATGCATTTTTGCTCATGTTCTCTGAGGTTTTTAATATGGATTTTACAAAGTTGCTGTACCAGTCTTTCTCATGTACATAACTATAGTAATTAACTTGGAAAGTCACTAAAAACCCATTACAAAATTAAACTGAACTTATTCACACAATACAGGATCCTTCTGGCAGTCTTGCTCTTTTGATTTTGGGTTTTCTAGACCCTTAATTTGCCACGCTCTTGGTCTTCTGCTGGCAATTTAACTTCTTTAAAAGTGTTGCAAGACCTTCTCTCTGAGACCCTTCAGGGTTCATCTGTGCCAAACACTTCAGTGGTACAGCATCACAGAATTGCTGTATTACTTTCCTTTGAACTAAACCAGACCTTTCTTTTACCTAGAGGCTGTGATCCGAATATGTCCTGATTGCCTTGTGGTAAAGTGCTCTTTGGAGAGGCATCGGAAGACAGCTCTCATAAAGTACAACCAGACAGAAATTTAGTTTAACTTCTTGGTAGTGTTTCTAATGTAAGGTATTCATCACAGAAAATATCCCATTGCCAGCATTGGGGGGATTTGTGGAATAATTTAAAGTAGAAGTAAGGAAACTTAAGAAATACTGAATTATCTGCACATTTAATCACAAGGTCATGAAGGATATAATTTGGACAACAAGTATAATCCCAACTGTTAGCTTAGGTGTTCTCATTTAAATAGAAACTTGTTCCATTCAGAAAGCTAGAAACTGTTTCTACAGAGCTAAGTAAAATCCCTAAGATTTAGACTAACCATAATAAAATAGCAAAAACTGCTACAGAGGACAAAACAAGGAAATGAAGAAGTGGAAAAATGAAGCTAAGTACAAGTCTTCTGGATTTCTTAGGGAGCTCCCCTGAATGCCATGTCTT